AGGACCGAAGTTACCATCGGGCTTAGTGTTTTCGAAGATGATCTCTGAGGGTAAGACATCGAACCATCGTTACGTTTATAGACCTAACTGGACGGCTACTAGCTTTTGTCCTCCTGCCAAAGTCACGCTACCTTGACAACATTGGGCTGTGCAAGCCCACCCTTTTATTTCATGAAACGTATCAGCCAGATTTCCACACAAGAACGATGCTCCCCACCGAACTGTGTAACCTCGTCATCGACCATTTCCATGACTCCAAGCCATCCCTCTTAACATGCTCCCTCGTCCGCCGTGCATGGGACCCCGAATGTCATTTCCATCTCTTCCACAAGGTCCAGCTCTGTCGCGACACAGCTGATTCGTTCTTCCAGCTGATCGAGAGCCCCCATGCTATCCTCGCTTCAGCCCATATACGCGAGCTTGATGTCGCGCAGAATTCCGTCACTGAAGGTGGAAGTCTCGCAGGCGATCTGCTTGATGGTCGGGCGTTCCAGGGAGTCTTGACTCGATGTCCTGCAGATGTCTTTGAGCATGTGCAGAAGTTGTCGGTGACCTGCGTTGGCCGGTGGACACTCACCGATGCAGAGAAACTGAGTATTGGGCATCGATTCAAGAGTGTGACCGAGCTCCGGTCGTGGATGGTTGTTTTCCAGACGGATGAAGAGTTCCAAGCTCTGATCACTTCGATCCAGGCGCTGAAGTCTTGTCTTTGCAGACTATACTGTTCCGGGCCAAGGATTCGGAGGAAGATCACTCGGATGCCAAGCTCACACTTCCAGCCAACTTAGATACAATCTCGCTCAACGACGTGTCCAACCCTCGTGTTATACGTTCCTTGATCCCATGTCCGTCTCTCCGAGTATTCATGTGTCACTATGTGAACTTTGTTGACTTTGAGCTGACAGTGGCTAAAGAGTTCGGACGGCTTTTGTTATCTTCTGGCAAGCGCTTGGAGGAACTCGGGTTCACCATTCCAGGCTGCAGCGTCCCTCAACAACGGTGTTGATCTTGGTGAGTCCGTCTGCATACTTTTACTGGCCTTCTCACTGACCAGCTTTCAGATATCCGATTCAAAGACACCGACCTCTCCCGACTTTCCAATCTTCGGCGGATCGCACTGTGGATTGAAGACAACCAGTACCTCATTCCATTCCTCAAACGGCTCACCGAGTCCGACTGTCCGATTCCAACGCTAGAGATGCTGGACATCCACTGTCTCTCCGAGCATGATCAAGATTGGGAAAAGCTTGATGAGATCGTCCAGTATCCCTACTTCCGTGAGCTCCAAGAGATCAAAACCTCCGTCAAGGTGTATTGTGGCATCGAATATATTGGGCAAAAGCGTGTATGATACGAGAAGCCCAATGATGGGGCACAGTATCACAAGGTTCATGGAGACGTTGCCAAGGTGCCAGGTGAGGGGAATACTACGCCCAGTGGATGACTATTGGATTTTTGATAATTCGATGTTGTACGGACAAGTCGGCCGGCAGACGAGGAGAGGGCGGTTTTTGAGGATGATTAGTGTTGTCGGTTGGTCGGTTGGGAGGGAGTTGAGCTATTCCATTGTGCCGTCTACACGCGTTTTTTCCTGGTCGTTGCTTCTTTTCTGTTCAGCGAGCTCACAATTCTAGCACTCCTTTTTCTGGCTGTTAAACATTTTGATGTCCCAAGTCAATGGCTTGCAACCGTGGCTAACCGGGGTTGTCTTTCGGCAATTGCCGCATCTTTCACTACAGCTACCACCACCACTCCCTACTGCTACACACCATAATGGACAAGTCTTTTTGGTCAATCATCCAATGGCTTCCCAATGAAGTACTTTCTGAAGTCCTTCGGTTCTGTGCGCCCAGGGAGCTTGCTATTTTACTCAGGGTCGCAAAGCTGTTCAACGGAATCGGACTGCCTTTGTTATACCGCGATGTTTACCTTGGCATAAGCCAGGGAAAACGGGCTTCGGTTCTTTCTTTCATGGCGTCTATAGAACGGGATCCAGCGAGGGCGCGAATGATAAAGGGAATTCGGATCATAGCTTTAGATTTGGAAAAGTACGCATTGGTAATGAAGAGGCTGTCGGTCTTTGAACTCACGCTGTTACAGCATCGAAGCCGTTACCCCTATTATGGAGGGTATCAGAAACTTCACCACCATTGTCCCCGCCATCGTTCAGCTGACAAACATAGAAGTCTTCCGAATCGTCTGCGAATTCGACGAGGAGGCGTTGCTCGATTTACTCGACGTGGCCTTTTTCACTAAAATCCACACCCTTACTCTTGCCTTCAGTGGACTCCTCCACCCTTCTCAAATATCACCCTTCATAAACAGGCACCCGACGCTTCGCAGCGTTTCACTTCAGTCCAATTCAGTCTTCGGTGACAATTTTTCCGTTTTCCTATCAGCATTCCCTCGCATAGAATTACTGGAACACATGTCCGCTCCTTTCGAGTACTTCCTCGGCGACATACCCAGTAAGAACTTGACTTCTGCCTCGATCGATTTCAGCGTATATGGAAGGCCGGAAATCGGGAGGACCTTTGTCTCGCTTGCTAATTCTGCTGCGAAGGATAGTTGCAAGACACTCGTTTGCACCACCCAAGGCTCATACACGCCTTTAATGGAATACATATCCGGTCTGATGCCGAAAATCGAAAACCTCACCATCAGGTCTGGCCCTCTGCCTCGTTTTGTACGTGCCTGTCTTCTCTTCGTAGGCCAAATGTTCATCAGCACTCGTTTACAGGCATCCTTTGATGAATTGGCCAAGCTCAAACATCTCAAAAAGTTTACTCACATCACAGTTGACAAGGACGACGATGGATTGCAGAAAGCAATTGATCGCGTCGACGACCAACTGTTTCATGGAATGTCTTCGACATTGAGTCTGTTGAAGCTATGTACGCATGGGAAGTTCTGAATAACTGAATGCTATATTCATTCTTCTTCGTAGACGGAACAACCTGGTCACGAACAAATGATGGCTGGATCCGCACCAAATCCTAGTCTACGTAATACAGAAGATCTTCGACCGTCCACGGAGACCCCTTATGGCCCGCTTTTGGTGGTGCATCAATCTGCATCGCCACCAGAAAATCATGCACTAGATCGGCTGCTGCGATACCAGTGATATCCGCTGGGTGCCGTGGTCAAGTTACACCGTAATATGAAATAATCTAAAAACTTACCATGGTCGTATGCTGGGGCAACTTCGACGATGTCAGCGCCACTGTTAACAGGTTAGCAGAGTGCAGTTTGGATGGAGGGACGACGCACACAAAGTTTAGCCCTGCCAAGCCACGGATAATCCGCTTCATCTCGCGTGTGGTCCATCCGCCGGCTTCCGGCGTTCCAGCTGCGACGCTTGTCAGAAATTATGGAATTATCGTGTGGGTGATTCTTGATGCTTACTGGCTGGTGCAAACCCAGGATCTGAGAGGCAAAATGTCAGAGGGTGCTTCTTTCCGTGAGACGGCCACTTACCTACGACGTCGATGTCGAGACTGGCGAGAGGGAGTTGAGGGGTATGATCTTCAGTATGGGGACATCCCTCACCTCAAGTATACAGGACCATTGCCTACACGCCTTCGAATGGCCTTTATCACGTTCTTGATGCCATAGTCATCGATATCTTCTGCGCTGATTACCTGGAAGCCCACAGACTCATCGTGGGTGACTTGTGTTGGACCCTTTCTATCTATCAGCATTCATGATGCGATAACAGTGCTGGGTACACGCACGCGCATCTTGCTTCTGATACCTCCATGTATACTGGTGTTGGTCATCAGATGTTCTTCATAAGCGATGGTGAAATACGATCCGTGGGTGATACGCTCTTGGTCAGTCCTGCCTTCGACAGCGCCGGTGTCCATGTGGGAGTCGAAGTGGATGACGGACACGGGCCCGTATATCTTGTACAGGGCGCGCAAGATGGGAAGGACCTGTTGCATCCACGAGCGTTGTATGGAATATGATAATGACACTCGAACAGCTTACAATCGTATGATCGCCGCCTAACGTGACGATACGCGGATGTTCTACACCATCCTTAGTCAATGCAGATGTCCTAGTAGCCCCGACTGCAGGCCTATTGAGCAACGTCGTGTACGCGACTTCCATTTGGTCGATAGCTTTCGCGTTATCCATTGGCGTCACCGGGACCTATTCACGAATGAATCAACTTCCAAGGATAACCACCTCGCACACGCGCGCGTACATCTCCACAGTCGATGATCACCGAGCCTAACCCTCCAGGATTAGTCTCCCATGATAGGTCCCACGAGTATTCGCCAATCGACTGCCTCCTGCTCCCGCTCCTGATAGCGTACGGCCCGAAACGCGCTCCTGGGCGGTAGGTCGTCGTGGTGTCGAAGGGCATACCGAGGATGGCGATATCGAAGGTGTGCAATGCGTCTTCGAGGCATTTGTGGTAGGGCAAGTGGGCGTAGCTGGTGATGCCGGAGAATCCCAGGTCTTTTTGGGGCCCATATTTCAAGGACCAAGGCTCGTCCAACTTGAGCGGCTGCTGGGACTGAGCCTGCGCGAGGAGGGGAAGGAGGAGTAGAGGGAACATCGTAGCCATATGGGTGATTGATTGGGAGTATCGATCATACTTTATCAAGTGGAAATAGAGATAAGGACTCTCATGGCGATGCCGGCGGCTTCAAAATATCATAGATAGCGCCGTCTGTTCATACGCTTATCATTGGTAATAAATTATATATCCTTCTTCATAATCTTCATGCCTTGGCCAATCGTTCGGGTGTGGGTTTGAAACACTCGGGAATCTTGGTCTTTTCCCAAGGTTCGCCTTGTATCAAAGCTGCAAGACCTTTGGCACATGCGGGTATACGCGCCATTCCTTTGTTCACGTTAGTCGACGACTATATTCGGAGAGATGAATCATACCATGGCCATTATGACCCGCGCAAATGAACGCGCCAGGTTTATCGTACAATTCGCCGACGAATGGGACCTCTTGAGGGCAATGTATAAGTCTTCCGATTGTTTGTCTTCAAATACACTTACTTTCAAGTGTGTATCCCATAGTCCCTGCCATCACGGTTAAAAAAAAAGGGGGTGTTCGCAGCAGATACTCCAACTACCCACCTGTCCAGTCATGTAAGAGTCCTTCACCCACTGCCTCTGTTCCCCAGTTTTCAAAATGCACCGGCATGGCGGTCTTCAGATGCTCAGTGATCTCAGGAAGCTTCACGCTGTCGTCCGTCTGCCCCACGACATCCGAGTCAGGTACCTTGAACCTTCCGCCACCGATGATGATGATGCCGTCCTTGGGACGCTGGATCATATAGTCAAAGTTACCCTGTGTTTTTTTCTAGTGAGAAGGATTTTCATGGCTCTGGGTTAAAAACCAGACGGACGTTACCCCACTGATATGAACACGTATGCGTGAGCGCATTCTTGCCGGAGTATGCCTTGGTGGGGACGATGGCTGAACACTGCCCGCGTACGGGGATGATTTTTTCAGCAAACTCGGGTAGGAGCGTAGCGGTAAACGCGTTGGTCGCGTATACGACCTTGGTTGCCGTGATAGATCCTCGCGGGGTCTCGATGACCCACCCGCCTCCTCCCCCGTTCGGAGCTGGGTTCACCGCCGTAGCTGGGGTAGACGTCTGCAAGTTGAGACCGTATTTATCGATGCACTGAGTGAAAAGATGGGCGACGAGTTTGTAAGGGTAGAGCGAAGCGGCGGGGAAGGCAGCTGCTAGGACGCATCCGGGGATTCGAGTGAGCTGGGAAGCTTATAAGGACAAGGATAGGGGAACGCCGATAATTTGAGACTCACACGTTTCGCTTCCGCTGGGTCAGAATGCCAATCGATGATGCCGTCAGTAGGACCGCCGTCTGCTTTGAACGCGTTGTAAGACTCGGTGAACTGGTCGGCACACTCCTGGTCCATGGCGACATCAAACGACTTTCCTCGCCACCAGTCGCAGTCGATGTTTTCCTTCTCGACGAGTTCGGTGACCAAGTTGAGGTTGTCCTGTTGGGTAGTCAGACGCCAGCTCCGATGGGATAAAAGGATGCTCACCATCTCATTCTGAATCACCTTCAAAGCCTGTTCTTTACCGAACCTGGCTTTGTACCTGATGTACCCTGTTTCTATCATGATCACCCCGTTCACTAGCCGACTTAAACAAATCCCAACGCACCTCGATAACAGTCCGGCCGACAGTGGCCACCGTTCCTGCCGGTAGCGCCATCACACACCTCTCTCGCCTCCAACACGACTACGCTCTTCGGAGGGTTCTCTCCTGTGAGGAGAAAGTACGCTGTAGATGCACCCGTAATACCTGAGCCAACGATGACGACGTCTGCCGTCGTGGGCAGTGCTTCAGTGGTACGATGTCCAATGAGCGGCGACGAGCGGACGCCCTGCAGCCAGAATGAGAGACAGGCATTTGGACCGGGGAATCCTGGAACGGACATGGTGTGTTTTGGAAGAGTGGAAATCTGTAGGGTGCGACATAAATATATGAAGGCGCTTATCAGAACACAAACATAAGTGGCCACGGGGAAATTCGATACGAGATAGAAGCGAATCATCACCAAATATGTTGGATTTGATTTCCTACAGGGTTGTAATTAGGTTCCAGAAAAGCAGGTCAATGGTCATCATCATCATCAGTAACGACGGAGCCCTGCGGTGGAAATGGAGCAAGAGAAACAAATGCCCTTGTTTCATGGTTGCAGTTTCGAGCTCAAAAAGTGAGATGGAGAAAAAACCTTTTTTTCTTTCAGCCTCCGAACACGACGCCGCGACGAGTTGAACGAAGGGTAGCATAAAAATCTATTCAAACTCTGGATAAACAAATCTCCTGCGAGAAAAATGAGTTATCGAGAAGGTATGGATTCTGGTAGGGACACGAACCTCAATTTCTGTCATCGGTCAGCCTCAACAACTTCAGTTCTGACGGCTCAGTGGATGCTCAACGTCCAAGTCTTGGTTTTGAGTCAGGTTCGAGCCTAGACTCCGGGTTCCCGGGCCGTTTGGAATATTCCGGCAGCTTCATAGGCAGCTTCTGTCGGCTACTTGCCATCACTTCAAATTACAACGACCTTTCCGCAGCGTCTTTCCGTGATTTTGTTTGTCAACTTCCCGCATATAAGATCACTAATTGAAACCCGTGCATCTCTGCTCTTCTGGTCACGACAGGTAGGCAACCAGACTTTTTTCGAGCTCCAGCAAAGTTTACTTACCATCCATTTATAGTTTGTAGCTACCGAACGGTGATGGGCACACAGAATGAAGCCATTCGGGCGATGGAGCGTGTTACTGAATGCGAGCCTTCGCTGTCCTTTTGCTCAATAAGTCGACTTTGGCTTCTATCAGCCGTACTGATGGCACGGCCCGATGTCAACCTAGCCTGACCGCTAAAACAATTTTGACATCTGCCCATGCTCATGCCTGCCACGTTGGCATTTCTACTCAACAGGATGAAGCGTGCAAGGCCTCGATAGAGTCCTGGATATGTTATGACCTGCGGTCGTCAAGGGTCAGGCTCTTTCTCTCTCTCACGGCTAGGCGTCGGCAACCGTCAACGATGTGACGAGTTTCGGTTAACGTCACTTCATCGATCTTCTTCGAAATTACATCAAACTTTATCGGACTAGATTTTCGTTGGCCACTTTTTCTAGGAAAGAACATATTGGACTATCAACGCTATGGTACGATGTTTTTTGGCCTCCTGGCAGCACTCCGATCTAACTTGTCTTTCTCTAGTGCCTAGGAGCCCGGATCCGCACTGAGGCCGTTCAATCTCGTTCTCATCAGATGCAATCAAGGGCAACACGAATGTTTTTTTGGAATAGTAACTGAGATATAAGTCAGAATGTTTGGTCGATCACGACCCTGTCAATCACGATGCGACCTCTCTCAGCAAAGCCCATCTTGTTTCTCATCATCAAATGGTTTTCGGATGTTGTATTCGCCCATGGAAACACCGAACGCTGCGTAAGCCCCATTTTCACTCTTCGAGGCTCTCCCCTGACAGAGATCAGTGCAAGGAACTTTCCTCGTCTCTCCACGTCGCCACACCTGGCTCACAACATTATGACACACATTTAAACACTTACTTCTCACTTGATCAAGGTCGCATGCAACCCGCTTGCGTTGTCTTTCCCTCGGATGCCTCTCAGGTGTCCACGGCCGTGTCTGTGGCTTCACACCACGCGTGTCGGTTTGCAGTCAAAAGTGGAGGGCATATGGCCTGGATTGGCGCATCCAACATCGGTGCCGACGGATTCGCGATTGATCTCGAGAACATAAACACGCTGACTATCTCTGATAAGGGCGATAGCGTGGCTCTAGGATCTGGATTGCGCTGGAAAGACGTATACGACTATCTCGAGCCTCTCAATCTAACTACAGTTGGCGGTCGGATGTCAGGTGTTGGAGTCGGAGGGTTTATTCTCGGTGGTGTGTGGACCTCATCGCTCCTTGCAATGATGAGAATACTGATGATAATCTTAGGTGGCATTTCTTTCCTCTCATACCGACATGGGTTCGCCAGCTCGAACGTTATTAATTTTGAGGTGGTCCTTTCATCAGGAGAAATTGTCAACGCCAACTCAACGAGCCACCCAAGTCTTTACTGGGCTCTGAAGCTTAGCAGCACCAACTTTGGGATCGTCACACAATTCACCATGTCCACGTTCCCTATGAATAACGTCTTTGGTGGCGCTCAAGTCTTCGCGATAGAAGAATCTCAAGCACTAGTGCTCTCCCTTGTCCAGTCTACAGCTTCCCTCAATAAAAATCCCGATCAATCACTCGGCTTGCTTCTCACCTGGTCGGCTGCTGTGCAGCGATATGTCGTCTGGGCCCCACGCATCCAGGTAGACACCTCAAGTGTGCCTCCGCCTCTTACATCTGCTTCGCCTCTTCTTGATACTCTCAGGATAACCAAACTGAGTGACATTTTCACGGAGTGGTCTGGCGAAGAGTCTTCCATCCGCGGGTACAACGAGTGGCTGACCCTGACTATCAAGATAGATAGTCAGCTACCGCTAGATATCTTTGTGAAGGGCCAAGCGCTCTTTGGACCCTTCATCGAACGAGCTGGATATCATTGGGGCTTCGCCGTCCAGCCACTTTCGCGACGAATGATTCGGGAAAGCATGGACAGGAATGGCGGTAACCCCTCCTCGTTGTCTCCTAATGAAGATTTGTTCGGTCCGTTTCCCCCTTCTTGAGATCTCGGACTATACTGATGGGAAAGATTGTGTTAGTCTTGCTGTTCGTTTCCTCGTGGACGGATCCTGCTGATGGCGAAGAGATGCGCACTGTGATTCGACAGTTGGCAAGTTGGTCTCAACAGGAGGCGATCGAGAGGGATTTGCTGGAGGATTTTGTCTATATGAATTATGCCTCGGGAGTGCAGGACGCACTCATGAGGTCCATCGGCCCCGAAAATCTCTCCCGCATGCTGGATATCCAGAAGCAGTATGATCCTGGCAACGTCTTTGGGACGCTTTGGTCGGGAGGGTTCAAGTTGCGAGACCCGACCGTGGATGTTGCTGACACGCGTCGGGACATATCGGAACTGTAGGCACTTCTGATGTGACAAAGAACGGCTTGGTAGGTATGCAGCATCACACGACAGTAAAAATTTCTTACGGTACAAAGAGAAGTAAGGATACGGTAAAGATCATAGAAAAAGTTGATGAATTGACACTGCAGGTATACTTAATATAGCTTCAGACTTTGTAAACCCTTATCTAAGCCCCCTCATCGACATCCCGTTGCTCAGAGCCAGGACAAAGAAGGACGCAGAGTCTTCCAAAAATGCTCGCCAGCCGTCCTGCCATATCCAAGCTATACTATCGGATGTAATAGACACCGCGCTTGCAATGGAATCATGGACCAGGCCATGACATCAATGACTGAGGATTTCCTTGTGTGCTCCTACAAAACGTCATGTACATCGAAATTTATCGCTGAGTGCTATAGACACATTGACGGTGGCGTGTGTAGAAGTATCTGCATATACCACAAGTACTTCGGTGTAGCAAAAGAAAGTCGATCAAGCCGGTTACGCAGAGCTGGCTAACTTCAGCGCGATTCAGGTGATTGAATAAACGCACGTCCTCAACACAGAACTCCCTTCGAAATCAAGTCAGGTGCACGAAACAACAGTCAATCACACTGATTACAAATGGATGGCTAAAATAGCTGGGTAATCGTTTCACAAGAGTTCCCATTTAATTCAGAATTTTTCCACGGTCTTGTATTCTTCAAGTTTGTGCTCTGGCTATCCAATGATTTCGAGCAGAAGGTTTTAGCTACGATCCTGTGGACGACTATCACAGCTTCAGAACCATATCCTTATGTGGTTCAATGTCCGTCTCTATTCGCTTGCACAACAATTCTCCTCCATGAAGAACCGCAACACCAACTCGAAGCTATAATCACCTGCGTATTGCAGAGACGACGACACGAAAAGAAACCAACACGGCTCTGCATAAGCCTGACACCAGGGCCGGGCTTTTCAGAGCTTGGCTTATTCGGGCTTGAGCCAAGCCCTGAAATCGCTAACGTCGTCGTCGGACAACCCAATTGCCGGAATTGAATGTCAATTCATACTCTTTATCTCTCTCGCCTTGTTGCGCCATAACATTAGCCAAAGATGCTCATGCCTTATCGTAAAGTTATATCAGATTCATTTCCACTATCAGGGCGTACACAAGAATGATTTGGTGATCTAAGTAGAAGGCTTAGGTCGGGGTTTCTGCTTGGGTCGTTTGAGACTTCCACTGCCAGTTAGGGGACTCCAATGGATCCTTGTACAACTCTACATTTATTTTGGTCAAACAAACGCAACCTGAAGGAGATATTCAAAAAACTTCACATGAGCGACATGTTCCATTCTTCCTCCTCCTCTGAATCAGAATCGGCCGCAAGCTGTTGTCCAGCATTACGTTCAGCTGACTCGCCGCCAAGGGCAGCTTCATTGAGAGTTCCAGATCCTGTACTGGACTGAGATTTCTTCTCTGACGTGTTGTTAGTACTCGCCGCTGCATTATCCACAATCGGCGTTTGCGATTTTGACCCGGCGGCCGTTGGTTCTCTAGAAGCGCCAGGTCAGATGGTTCGTACAATCCAGAGAAATAAGCAAACGTTTTGTCTGATGAAGCCATTCGCTCTGTGTGGATCGATTGCAAGAACAAGCGGATCTATGGATCCAAATAAAATTGTTAACATACATGCCGTAAGAGCGAAAATCCGACTCTGAATATCATTTTCAGAACTTCACAAGAAAGTAGTGCGAACGCTGCTTTTCGGATCATTGAACGAAGTAATGCCGAAAACATGCTCGACATCGCCTTATGTACCATAGATAGTGTGACTACTCCCAACCGCCTCGTGAGCTTCCGAGGATCGATAAAGCTCCCAGTGACAGAATTCCGGCTTGTCATCCCTTTGACGCAATGAGAACAAGGGTGTAAAGAAGCTTGGTCGCTGGAAACCTAATAATATCGCCCCAACATATAATCGGAGGCTCGTAAAAGGACGTACTACTACTCTCCCCGAGAGCTCTCCATGGTAAAACCCTCCGTGCCATTGGCTTGGTTTAAGTCTAGTCGGTGGTCTAGTTGGGGGTTTCGGTCGAGCAATCCCCCTCGCAATGGGACCATTAGGACGTCCTGCCAACCGTACGACACTATTAAGGGCCATGAAAATTAGAACCTCTCGTGAATTGCAAGCTACTCATGCTACTGACGTTGCAATTGTTCTTATTGCATGGCTAACTTGTGTCTTGTGTCTTTCTGAGGACTTAGATCATCACCATTGGGGCCTTGAGGACGGGCGACAGTAGTGGTAGTTATTTACAAGCAGAGCGCAAACAAGTTCGATCTCTTAAGCTCCCATTCCCACAAGGTCAGCATCTCGTTTCGAATAGAGAGAAAGAGAGGCAAACTCTATACCCAGAAGAATGTATATAGCAAACGTTACCGCCTCGCTTGACTGCAGTCTTTTCTCCATAAACACCTGGAGAACTTTTGGGCTAAATCCAAGAGCACCTCAGGCCAGGAAAAACTAAGAAAACGATGAAAAATAATCAACGACTTTACGGCGGAGACTTTGAAAAAAGGAATGAAGTAGTAGTTGCAGAGAGGACATCTGCATTGGCTAAGGATGGTGTGGAGCATCCGCGTATTGTCGCGCTAGGCGGCGATCATACGATTGTAAGCTGTTCGAGTGTCATTATCATATTCCATACAACGCTCGTGGATGCAACAGGTCCTTCCCATCTTGCGCGCTCTGTACAAGATATACGGGCCCGTGTCCGTCATCCACTTCGACTCCCACATGGACACTGGCGCTGTCGAAGGCAGGACCGACCAAGAACGTATCACCCACGGATCGTATTTCACCATCGCTTATGAAGAACATCTGATGACCAACACCAGTATACATGGAGGTATCAGAAGCAAGATGCGCGTGCGTATACCCAGCACTGTTATCGCATCATGAATGCTGACAGACAGAAAGGGTCCAACACAAGTCACCCACGATGAGTCTGTGGGCTTCCAGGTAATCAGCGCGGAAGATATCGATGACTATGGCATCAAGAACGTGATAAAGGCCATTCGAAGGCGTGTAGGCAATGGTCCTGTATACTTGAGGTGAGGGACGTCCCCATACCGAAGATCATACCCCTCAACTCCCTCTCACCAGTCTCGACATCGACGTCGTAGGTAAGTGGCCGTCTCACGGAAAGAAGCACCCTCTGACATTTTGCCTCTCAGATCCTGGGTTTGCACCAGCCAGTAAGCATCAAGAATCACCCATACCATAATTTCTGACAAGCGTCGCAGCTGGAACGCCGGAAGCCGGCGGATGGACCACACGCGAAATGAAGCAGATTATCCGTGGCTTGGCAGGGCTAAACATTATGTGCGTCGTCCCTCCATCCAAAGTGCACTCTGCTAACCTGTTAACAGTGGCGCTGACATCGTCGAAGTTGCCCCAGCATACGACCATGGTAAGTTTTTAGATTATTTCATATTATGGTGTAACTTGACCACGGCACCCAGCGGATATCACTGGTATCGCAGCAGCCGATCTAGTGCATGATTTTCTGGTGGCGATGCAGATTGATGCACCACCAAAAGCAGGCCATAAGGGGTCTCCGTGGACGGTCGAAGATCTTCTGTATTACGTAGACTAGGATTTGGTGCGGATCCAGCCATCATTTGTTCGTGACCAGGTTGTTCCGTCTACGAAGAAGAATGAATATAGCATTCAGTTATTCAGAACTTCACATGCGTACATAGTTTCAACAGACTCAATGTCGAAGACATTCCATGAAACAGTTGGTCGTCGACGCGATCAATTGCTTTCTGCAATCCATCGTCGTCCTTGTCAACTGTGATGTGAGTAAACTTTTTGAGATGTTTGAACTTGGCCAATTCATCAAAGGATGCCTGTAAACGAGTGCTGATGAACATTTGGCCTACGAAGAGAAGACAAGCACGTACAAAACGAGGAAGAGGGCCAGACCTGATGGTGAGGTTTTCGATTTTCGGCATCAGACCGGATATGTATTCCATTAAAGGCGCGTATGAACCTTGGGTGATGCAAACGAGTGTCTTGCAACTATCCTTCGCAGCAGAATTAGCAAGCGAGACAAAGGTCCTCCCGATTTCCGGCCTTCCATATACGCTGAAATCGATCGAGGCAGAAGTCAAGTTCTTACTGGGTATGTCGCCGAGGAAGTACTCGAAAGGAGCGGACATGTGCTCCAGCAATTCTATGCGAGGGAATGCTGATAGGAAAACGGAAAAATTGTCACCGAAGACTGAATTGGACTGAAGTGAAACGCTGCGAAGCGTCGGGTGCCTGTTTATGAAGGGTGATATTTGAGAAGGGTGGAGGAGGCCACTGAAGGCAAGAGTAAGGGTGTGCATTTTAGGGAAAAAGGCCACGTCGAGTAAATCGAGCAACCCTTCCTCGTCGAATTCGCAGACGATTCGGAAGACTTCTATGTTTGTCAGCTGAACGATGGCGGGGACAATGGTGGTGAAGTTTTTGATGCCCTCCATAATAGAGGCAACGGCTTCGATGCTGTAACAGCGTGAGTTCAAAGACCGACAGCCTCTTCATTACCAATGCGTACTTTGCCAAATCCAAAGCTATTATCCGAATAGCCTTGATCATGAGCGCCCTCGCTGGATCCCGTTCTATAGACACCCTGAAAGAAAGCGCCGAAGCCAATTTTGCCTGGCTTATGTCGAGGTAAAGATCGCGGTATAACAAAGGCAGTCCGATTTCGTTGAACAGCTTTGCGACCCTGAGTAAAATAGCAAGCTCCCTGGGCGCACAGAACCGAAGGACTTCAGAAAGTACTTCATTGGGAAGCCATTGTATGATTGACCAAGAAGACTTGTCCATTATGGTGTGTAGCAGTAGGGAGTGGTGGTGGCTGTAGTGAAAGAAGATGCGGCAATTGCCGAAAGACTACCCCGGTTAGCCGCGGTTGCAAGCCATTGACTTGGGACATCAAAATGTTTAACAGCCAGAAAAAGGAGTACTAGAATTGTGAGCTCGCTGAACAGAAAAGAAGCAACGGCCAGGAAAAAACGCGTGTAGACGGCGCAATGGAATAGCTCAACTCCCTCCCAAGCGACAAACCGACAAGACTAATCCTCCTCAAAAACCGCCCTCTCCTCGTCTGCCGGTCGACTTGTCCGTACAACATCGAATTATCAAAAATCCAATAGTCATCCACTGGGCGTAGTATTCCCCTCACCTGGCACCTTGGCAACGTCTCCATGAACCTTGTGATACTGTGCCCCATCATTGGGCCTCTCGTATCGTACACGCTTTTGCCCAATATATTCGATGCCACAATACACCTTGACGGAGGTTTTGATCTCTTGGAGCTCACGGAAGTAGGGATACTGGACGATCTCATCAAGCTTTTCCCAATCTAGATCATGCTCGGAGAGACAGTGGATGTCCAGCATCTCTAGCGTTGGAATCGAACAGTCGGACTCGGTGAGCCGTTTGAGGAATGGAATGAGGTACTGGTTGTCTTCAATCCATGGTGCGATCCGCCGAAGATTGGAAAATCAGGAAAGGTCGATGTCTTTGAATCGGATATGAGAGCTGGTTAGTGACAAGGCCAGTATAAGTATGTAAGGGGACTCACCAAGGTCAACACCGTTGTTAAGGGACGCTGCAGCCTGGATGGTGAACCCGAGTTCCTCCAGGCGCTTGCCAGAAGATAACAAAAGCCATCCAAACTCTTTAGCCACTGTCAGCTCAAAGTCAACAAAGTTCACATAGTGACACATGAATACTCGGAGAGACGGACATGGGATCAAGGAACGTATAATACGAGGGTTGGACACGTCGTTGAGCGAGATTGTATCTAAGTTGGCTGGAAGTGTGAGCTTGGCATCCGAGTGATCTTCCTCCGAATCCTTGGCCCGGAACAGTATAGTCTGCAAAGACAAGACTTCAGCGCCTGGATCGGAGTGATCAGAGCTTGGAACTCTTCATCCGTCTGGAAAACAATCATCCACGACCGGAGCTCGGTCACACTCTTGACTCGATGACCAATACTCAATTTCTCCGCATTGATGAGTGTCCACCGGCCAACGCAGGTCACCGACAACTTCTGCACGTGCTCAAAGACATCTGCAGGACATCGAGTCAAGACTCCCTGGAACGCCCGACCATCAAGCAGATCGCCTGCGAGACTTCCACCTTCAGTGACGGAATTCTGCGCGACATCAAGCTCGCGTATATGGGCTGAAGCGAGGATAGCATGGGGGCTCTCGATCAGCTGGAAGAACGAATCAGCTGTGTCGCGACAGAGTTGGACCTTCTGGAAGATGTGAAAACGACTTTCGGGGTCCCGTGCACGGCGGACGAGGGAGCATGTTAAGAGGGATGGCTTGGAGTCATGGAAATGGTCGATGACGAGGTTACACAGTTCGGTGGGGAGCATCGTTCTTGTGTGGAAATCTGGCTGATACGTTTCATGAAATAAAAGGGTGGGCTTACACAGCCCAATATCGTCAAGGTAGCGTGACTTTGGCAGGAGGACAAAAGCTAGTAGCCGTCCAGTTAGGTCTATAAACGTAACGATGGTTCGATGTCTTACCCTCAGAGATCATCTTCGAAAACACTAAGCCCGATGGTAACTTCGGTCCTCTATATGTAAGATAAGTTCAAGTTCCTTTGACATCCTAGCGGGCAAACCATCGAACTGCCAATCTTGGATTGAAAAAACCAACCGCTGGTTGGGGGATCGTTTACCCTTAAAACGGTTCTATTTCGCGTCACAAGCTATAGCACGCAGGATGGCATTCCTGTAGGTACATTTGCGCCGTCATATTAGAACACACGCCGAACAGCCGCCACATACAGGAGACTGTGCAATCGATTATTGTTATATGCCATCCAGTGTTAAGCCAGAGTTCCAAATGGTTTTTGTCCAGCAGTCTAGAGCGTCGCTAATCTGCTCCGTCAGTAAGACACGAGATTATACTAGTAGTGCTAGCGTTAGCCAAAGTAGAACATGAAATATATGATGGGTATGAATATGTCTCGAAAGGATATGTATGGCATCTAGACGTTGAACCAATTAATGAGGAACCACTATCCAGATGAGAGATAGGTACCTCTTCAACCAGAGAAACATGAATTGAAGGGAATCATCTCCATCACCCATTGATGCCAATTATTCAAGTTCAAGCTTCAAGCTTCATAGTTCTCACGGACCAGACGAGAACAATTCTCACTGTGGATTTTCAGGTGCTAAGTCTGGCTCAATGTAGATATAAAGGACAGAATACGCGGCAGACTTGGATGATGATCAAAGCAGGAATGGGTAACAGGTGTGACATTGTGACTTACCACAGGTGCGCACGCTCTTCTCAGTCAACGACTCGCAAGCCTGTACTCGGTCAGAGCCTTGCGACCAACCCTTTCTGTGAGACTAGCCTTGAATCAAAATTGAATACTAATTCAGATTCATCGACATCTTTAGTTTCATATAATTCACTGGTCCAAAGATATGGCACAACCTCAAAGAGCCATTGACCATCGGTAGGCATCGTGCAATCGGCAATGAAAGCAACTAATGTAAAGTGTAGAATCTCAATACCTCTCCAAAAGAACGACTTGTGCAATCATCCCCGTCAGCCCTCGGCTGCTGAACTTTGCCCTCCAGAGATCATTGAAGAGATCATATCAGGCTTGGACAAACCAGACGCTGCATCCACTGCAATTGTCTGTAAAACCTGGCTTGAACCATCCCGCATACGCCTGTACTCCAGCCTGCAGTTCATATACCCTGCTCCGCTACTCGTCTCTACACTACGGACATGCGCGGCTGCACGATCATACATCCACACGCTATCCTTGAGAATAGCATTTCCCCGGCCAAACATCCCAGTGACACCTGCAGATTTTGACTGGCTTCTCCTTCTCCCTCCGGGAAACATCCGGTCTTTCCGTGTCATTTTCGGTGATTTGTGCTTGGAAGATGTGATTCTGCCAGATGTCATCAGGCAGCTCTGTGCGACCGGCCTTTCTGCGCTTGAATCTCTCGTCATAACCACTTCCGTCATTGAACTAGAGACGATCAATCTCTTCGCTTCTCTTCGTTCTTTAAGAGAAGTATGCCTTGGAGTGTTAGTGGCTGTAGTCTTGAATGCGGAAGTCCCAGTTTTACCTCCGTTGACAAGACTCGGAATATATACCAACATTCGGCGTGACCTGCCACTATTCCTCCCAATTAGTTCCTTGTCATCGACTCTGACACGATTCGACTACCGATGTACTATCGGAAGGGGGAATAGCCCACTTTCATGCCTTCCCCCGATTCTCAAGGAACTCAAACTTCTCCGTCGTTTGACTGTCGATTCAGATTTCAGATTTGATTCCATGCCTTTTATGGACGACATCGTCGGACATCTCCCGCGGTTGGAGTACCTACATGTCTGTACTGGTATATGGAGCTCTGTCCTACTCGAACGTTTACCACCTTTGGTAACATACTTGAGCTTGGCGCATCCAGGTACCGACTCACTACAGTCATTTCCCATCCCATCGATTCTGCAAATGCTGGATGACCACGTCGGTGTTCTGCAGACCCTAGTGTTGCAAATGTTCATTAGACGGCAGCTAGATCTGCAGTCGTTGATTTGCCGCTTAGGTAGCATTGACCTCATTGTGAGACCTGACATCGCTGTGGGCGATCGAAGCCATCTCATCTTCGACAGAGAGTCAGACAGATGGTAGATATTCGAACAACCTAGCATAGACTAAACGGGACAGTAAACGAAGGATGATTCAAACATTCATGTAGTATGCGAAACAAGTTAGCAGATCCCCAGGCTATGTGGAGTAAGAAATCTTCTTGTCAAGGTTCCGCTCGATGGTACGCACGACTTCCGACGCACCAACGATTGCCTCCGGTGGTGGATATCCTCCCTCAAGGAGGTTCCATAACAGAGCAGCATCGTCGATGAACAATCGCTGATTTATCTTCCCAAGGGAGAGAAGGCCATTCCATGGTTTCTCTTTGACGAGGCTCTATCTGACGAGAAATTCTAGTTGAACGGAAGTTTTAGCTTCACACCTTTGTCCAAGCTTATCGAAGACGGGTCCTTTGACAGGAAGCCATATGATGTGTAGATCCAGGCTGAAGCCACAGTGGAATCTTTCGGACGTCACCTGGGCTTTAACCTTGTACTCCCCGCTTAAATCTACTGGTAAAGACCCCCACGACTATTGCATAATTCATACTAGCCGATGTAATGATCTCTAGACTTGCTAATAGAGGATACGTGGTTAGGACTGTACAAAAACACGGCTTGTGAAATATATTGAAATGCATTTAATGTCGGTTTCTATATCAAAATGTTGCTGTCGGGGGAGCAGACTGGTGCGAATGATGCCGTGCCCGTAGGAGCACGTCCATTGCGTAAGGCCATCTCCTCCAGCACAAAATGTCTGGTCTCCACCACTATCATCATCTCTTCGTAGGTTTCCTCTCTTCACGAATGTATAAACGCTACTAACACTCTCGTAGCGATGACTTGTACTCCATCGTTGTCAACGGAAATTAAATTGGAGCAAGAAACGGTTACAAAAGCTCAGCTGTCTACACCGCTGGACTCGAATCTGAAGGGCACAACGTCTTCGCTATTTCCGTGAACAACACGGGAAGATCTGCCGGTCTCATTGCCATGACCCTTGTGGACTACAGCGATGGTACTATCCAGACTATCGTCATTGACACCACCTGGAAGACGATCTTGAAGCTACGCCCCGCGGTGGCTGGACTAGTCCGAGCTTCGACGATTCAGCTTGGGCTGCTGCAGTGTCTGAGGAACCTACGGCGAGGGCGCCTTGCGGGACGCCCCCACTCCTCCTTGCCATGAATATGACGGGAGTCAAGTCAATCCATACGCCGCTGGGGTAGACCCTCTCGTTCACAGACCATTCCGAAAGACTATCGCATCCCCCTATGGAAAAGCTTCTGTCTGTGGGAAAATCGTCATGACCACGACTGTTTTCCTTCCCTCTTCATCACCTTGACCTGTGTGACCGCAACTTGCAGCTACGATGAGTGCACGGGTGTTTTGGTGGCGTATGATGATGGGACATCGGAAACGTATTACACGGATGACTCGTGGAAGACGCTGGACGAAACCACTCCAGCTGGCTTTGAAGACATGGATTTGGATGACAGTCCGTGGATTAGTGCGACGGAGTGGGTGAATGGTGAAGCGAATTTGGTGACTGTTCCGCGTGCGTAAGCTGTCTTGTACGATGAGCTCAGTTAGACTTTGTCTTAATCGTGGAACTTACTACTTCTATACCCTTTGATCTTCAATGATATGTTGGTGCTGGTTTCTTCTTCGCAGTTCACTGTGGCTCCGAGTCGGTGTGGCGGTTCGTGGGAGAGAATTGGTGTGAGTTTACGTGAGCGAATAAGAGCAGAAATATTTGCACGGCTTTATCGCGATAACCAGAGCACATAACAACGGCAGAGCATGAAACAATTCAGCATTGAATAGAAGAAATTACTGTGGAAAGCATCAGTGGCGGGAGGCGTGCAGGGGGAACTATTATTTACTCAATGACTCCCGAGTCATGACTCAGAATTGATAACCGTTGTCAGGAGCCGTGTGACATTTAGTCCTTTGAAGATTGAAACGTGTAGATACAGTTTGATGGATATGTCTTGACAGCCTCTAGAATCTGGTCAGGCTCTACAGCGCCCAGTTCAACCCCGACAGACAAATACACCTCCATGAATTCACAGCCAAATTGGAAGCAGAATCGAAGGCACTAAATTCAGGGTAGACACAGGCAGTGCCTGATTCCGGAGCATAATGTGCCATCGATAGCAGGTGTTATATCCTTGGTGATGGCGACCGGTAAAATTGCTGGAGCCCGAGTGGCTCTTAGGTGGAATATGTTTGAGAAAGTCGCCATTAAAATGAAAATATATTGGAACCATCACAACAACCAACCGTCTCCAAATTCAAGGACCAAATCGATATGCTGGTTGTAAGTGGCAAGGATCGACCATAGAGGCCTGTCGTCCATTCCAGTCAACATGCGATCACGTGTACGAATTGATGCCAACTCGGCTCGCCCAATTCGGAGTTCCTTCTTTTCTACCACGACGGCCGCCTTGACTCGCGTTCCCTCCATTTGGGTTCTGCCTTTGTTCCTCGGGGCAGTCCGAAGATACAGCCTGTATGGCTTATTTTTTTCATCAGCCGACTGCCCTGAGTCCAGACTTGTCTGAAGATGGAAAAACCGTGATAGACGCTGGTCGATTGATCCTTTCGGACACGGCGCGAAAACATGAGGCAAACAAGCGACAACTGGTCCTCAAGGTATAAAAGCTTCGCTTTCTCTCTCTGGGTTCCCATCCTCTCTTGCCTTTGAGCAATGAACTATCATACTCAACGCTACTCTTGAGACGACGACGCCACCCGCCCTCTCGTCAGAGGACGTGGATGGCGATCCTCGTGTGTGGCTGCCTTTCCCCGCCACCCCTCTGTGGTAGGTTACCGACGTCGTTGCGAGCGAGCAATTCCCTCACTCTACACATAGTCATTGATTCTACGAGGTTCCTCTACGTAGAATCTACTTAGTGAACGTACTATCGGCGTCACAACTTGAGTGGCTCATCGTGCCACATCCGCGTCGATGTTATCATTAATCGGCAACATATGTGTACGTTCTTCCCTACCGCTTCTTCAGTTCGTCTGCTGATGCTTTCCTGGGTCAACGTCTCTCTAGGCCCTGGGAGATACGTGCGGTCGCTCTGCGACTATCCGGGTCACTGTCGGTTACCATATCGCTCCTCCTACTTGGCGAATCATGGTGCTCCTGATTTCAGTCGAGCGAACCCACCGTCGGGTGAATGGAGCGACTTGGTGACCAAGGTCAATCTCAACATGATCGGCTAGGCCATGGATCGGCACGCAGCGATGGGTAACGATACCCATCCATCTTCCCAATGAGGTCGTTGACCGACTCGAACGGTGAGCGACGTCAAGCGTCGTGGTAGATGCGTGCGGTCGTTTCGACGACTATCCTTGGCCATTGTGCCCTCTCCCTTTCGTGATCCGACGGCATTGATGACCCTTCCTTGGACAGGCCGGTCATCCGCCTTCGATAGGGCTGATGGCGGCCTTGGATCGGCATCCATCTTTCCGGCGACGTAGTGCTGAGTACATCGTTCGAGCAAGCGACCGAATCGGTGAGGAGTTTGTAGTCGGATCTCTCTGAGGCGTCGGCTGCTCCTCTCTTTCAGTGCCAATGGCATTGATTGAAATCTCCGCAGTGAGTTGTTATCTTTATCAGACAACTTTGATCTAACAAGGAGATTTCGTAGCTTCGGTTCGCTTTCTGCCAAAAAAAAAATGGTAGGTCGTCTTCCTGCCTGATTTCTGTCTCCGTTGTTGATGATTATCTTTTCAGAATTGCGCGAGGTCCTAAGACTCGCTTGCATCCTTCAAGACGGGGTGGGGTATTGAACGTTGACCACGGGATGGCAGGTGGTCTCCAATACACCCACCCTAGAAAAATAATGGTGCGTCACTCGGCGTCACGACTTGGACATGACGATATGACTGTTTTTCTTTTCAGTGATAATCACCAAATAACATACATGTACATCCCTCCCCCTCGTCTTTTGCTGCGGATACTAATGTGTATCCATTGTTCTAGAAATACCTGCGGACGAAGCAGGTATCAAAAGGAGTTTGGACGATTAATAATGCGTAGGCGTCGCAAGGCTGTCAAAATGCGCCGACGCGTCCAGTGGAAAGAGCTGAGTATACATTTATTCAACTCACCATTCTCTCGCCGTCTGACATTTTTTGCAGCATGCCATTCATATATTCCGACTTGCCATCCATTTAAATATCAGGGTCAATAGCGAGGCAAGACCTCGGTTTGAAAGGTACGCATTTCCCGGGGGATAAGACGGGGGCAGATGCGCGCTGCCTCCGTCTGGGTGCTCCCTTGCCGTGGGCCCCGGGCTTTCCACCAAACGCACCTATACCATCGCGTCCGGTTTGTCACCTCATTCCGGTTGGAAGTTGTCCGTACACAGAGAAGCCTTTGAAGGCTTACTCGCCGTACCGACCTTGCTTCTTTCCCTCCTTTCGATCTGGATAATCAGGTTGGTACGACTCTTTGCTGTGCTTATATTTATTGAAATCAGTTGTCTCAGTTCTGCCTTCGCTTTATTGGTGGTATCTTCCACGCGTATGTTCATTTATTACACTTCCTTCCTTCTGTCTCTCTTACGATTTTTTCCCTAGATCCTCAAACTGCGACATCACGATTTCACGACATTAAGAATCAAACACCTCAATCGAAGGTCGATCACATCTTTCGTCCAGCCGCTTACAAGCTAAACTCTGGCAACACAATATCGCTCACGTCGGCCGCCAAAAGTATTGCTATGTCAACCACCTTGTAGGCGAGTGAGTGCTTTCAATGAAACGCCAACATCATCACATCGAGTGAGCTCGCATCCCAAGAACAATAAAAGTACGTCGACCTTTTGTTTTGATCTATTCTTTATCTGATCGTGGTGCTTTTAAGGGACAGACAAACTATCAACTCTTGTGTGAAGTGCTCTATAAGCGAGTGATAGCCTCTGCGTGAGGCGCCAACACAACGACAATACGCAGTATTGTCCCCTGGGGGATAGAACGGAAGTGGGTGCGCTCCCCTCCGTTCGGGTGCTCCCTTGACGTGGGCCCCGGGCTTGCAGGCGTTGTACGGCTGCCTTCGGCGCTGTCTCGCCGTACCAAACGCACTTCGCACTTCAGCGCATCCTAGATATTAACTCAATGTAGTATTCAATTTGCATAAATTCTATCCATAATATATCAAAATCATGAAAGTCTTTAGTCCAAATCCAGCATATTCCCCTCTTCGTTCAACCAAGCTAACCGACCCAATGATCCATGTTGATGAGTAGCACGGGGGAGTCGCGAACGCACTGCCATCCCTACGAGCACGCAACTTTGTATGATGCTGTATCCAAGGGAAATCTGAACATGCAGCCGGGAAAGATTGTTCATCCACAAAGCATTGTCTAGGTCGGTCCAATATGGATGGTCTCTATCAGACAGAGAGGCATTGCTATCAATGCGGATTTTTAGGTTCCAGAGTGAGCTGGGATGGCTGAGTGTCTTGGCCCACCACTTGATAGAATGTATATAGTCGCGCCGCCTGTCCAGAACGAGGGTAAACGTGAGGTTGGAAACATATGGCATCTTGAGGGCGGGGAGTTCCTCATCTGCCATATCATGAATCAGCGATTGAAGAACACAAAAAGTATAAGATTAACGTACGCATGGCTATGCACCTGAATGTTATCTCTCTGGGTCGGGCAATGACAGGAGCGAGGTTAGCAAAGAGATCCTTCGTCCCCGGAATAGGATTGTTCAAGCCGGAAATTTCCAGACAATTCACCGACGACAGCGAAAAGGGGCGGTTTTGGGCCATCAGAAAGCGGAGGAGGGGCGTCGAAGAGTTGTCGAGATGAAGTGTTAGAGAACTGACTGATGGATTCAGTCTGCCTGGGATTCTGTTATACACTATGGGGAAGTCGTCGAATGTCACTCCTTCGATGGATATTATGGTGAGGTGGGAGTAGGAACTCAGAAGAGTAACAAATTCATTCTGGCTGCAAGTAACATTGTCTAGAAAGAGCTTCTTGATAGTCGGGAAGGACATAAGCGCTGTGTGGTACTCGGAGCGGTCTTCCCCGAAGGCGGACCACGCAACTCCATTGATGGCCATAGTTTCCACAGGCTTTTGTCCGCGTACGTCCGCAAGGTGCCGTAGCAAACGAGACAAGCCCCCGTCATAAACACCATTTCTTATCTTGCCGCAGATATAGATGCGGCTGATGTCATAAGTTACCCAATGTTGGCGTTCGCACATCTCAGTATAAGTCGGTAAGGACCGAAGGCGACGAGGTCCTATATCATGGAAGGGTTTGACCATGGCTCTGTATATACATTAGTCATCACATACCATGGGGAAAGAATTCATAACTTACAGGGTGTATATAAGGAAGAGGCTTCTTAATAGGTGAGGGGGTTGGAGAACGGGAAGTGTGAGATGGTCGCAAGAACCACTTGCATCCCTTTATATGTCGTGGGCGATGAATGAAGGCCACAGGGCTGCGGTCCGATACAAGACAACCAACAAAGCACAGTGACGGCCAAAGAGTCTGACAAAGGCTGAAGAGAAAACCATTGCTAGAGCTCTTTTGCTGAGCTCCGACCCCCTGTGGACAATATCACTCACTGCTAAAGAGATGCACACATGTGAATTGCAAGGTAACCAGGCGAAGAATTTCCTTGTACAAAGTTTGAAAGATCCGGTGAATTCCAAAAATTTCAGAGCCGAACATTGAATAAAAAGGTTCCGGGATCTTGCACTTGGTCTTGTTATCGAAACACAAGACAGTTGAACGGTCGAAGCACCGGCAGTGGGTGAATAGGAACATTACATTTAGATCCCAATTTCAAAGAAGGAGACTTTGTTGTTGCTGTCTCCGTCTTTTTGTAAAGGTGGCGGGTCGACGATGTCGATGCTGGCCTACAGAAAAAGACGTTTGGCTCTAGAGAATGCCTAGCTAGTCAGCATAAAAGTTTCAGCATTAGTGCTTACAGAACATTGACTATCATTGAAGCCATTGTGGCTGCACGGACAGATTTCAATGAGTTGCTGTCAGAGGTGCGCCTCAGAGGACCACAGTCGCTTGGCATCGAGTCCATAATGCGGTTCCGAGTACATGCTGGGTATGCCGTCTCTCAGCTCCTTCTCTGTTACACTGCAAGGCCTCGGAAGGGCTATAACATCTCAGGCCGCAATGAAGAGCATTAGGAAACAGAACAATTTGACAGGAAATAGAAGAGAATATTGGTGCAATTCAATGTAATGCTCATATCCTTTCAGCACAAAAGACTCACGGATAGACTCACAAACTTCACTCGCAGAACTTCAAGGCATCTCTTCTGCATTTCTGCTGGTCAAAGGTGCATTATATATTACCTCTTGCTCAATACAGTGTATTCAATGACCAACAGGGCAATTAATTGGACCACCTCAGATCATCTTGAAATAATGTTTTGTATTCCTTGGATACCATTGCCAAGATCACAGCATTGACACTGGCAGCTGTGGTGATGGTTTGGCCTTGGATCAGGATCTCCCTCTCAAGGAGTCCCAAACACAATCAGAATGTATTGACTCAATTTTGATAACATTCTAGGTTTGTATCAGATTGGTAAGTATAAAGACTCCCACTATGTGGTGCTGTGCATCTTGTAGCAATGCAATAATTAGTATAACACCCAGGGATAGAGAAGTTAGGGACTGACCCAGATAAAAACCTTTACAATCTACATTTAAGGCAAGCCTGAGTGGAGCCAGGACTTCAACCAATCTGTATATCTGTTGGCTGATGTTCCTATCACCCTTTCCAGAAATTGAGGGCTTTTTGAAATTGGAGAACAACACTGGGGAACAAAGATGGATGAAGACATCCAGAATGTCACATCCTTCCCTAAGTGTGAGTCCAGTTCTTGGATCTCAGGACCTTGTTTGCTAGGCAGAATTACATGTGCATCCATGGTGCTGGTGATAGAACAATTGTCAATTTCAAGTTCTTGTAAATGTGAAAATGCACAAATAAGAGAATGGAGGTCATCCACATGGAGAGAGGTGTCTGTCAAGGTCAGTTGAGTAATGTTAGGGAACATGATGATGGAGGCATGCAATCAGTGGCAGGATGGAAACTCAGACCATTTCACTTCATTGAGGAAGAGCATGTGGATGTCCCCATGTTGGGTGACAGCCACTAGAAGTATGGAGAGAAACAGGTCACAGAGGTTGTTGTGTGGGCCTAGGCATTCAATGCTGATGTAGAAGAAGTTGGGTGTGAGGACAGCTTCAAAGGAGGGTGCATTGAGAAGACAGCTATAGAGATCACTGCAGGTGTAG